ATGGTTTATGCGAGGAACCTGTGTTACATGTACATGTGTCTTTTTCTGAATGCGTTTTCAGTTAATATTTCATCTTATGAAAAACTTCCTTACCTATTTGATCTTTTGATTATTATTATTATTATTTTGTATTAGGTTGACATGAATCCCTCAAAAACTCTGAAGTATGAAATGGGACAAGCTTCAAAAATTCCCAAGCATGGACTCATTCAGCCTGGTGCCTTAGCAAAGGGACTAGGTCAAAGTTTGAAAGTTATGAGCACTACAAGAGTTAATGTTGAACAAAGGACTTCGATTTCCAAAAATAGAAGTTACAATGCCAGAACTTCTAAGTTGAATAAGCTAGTAGACAATAGTTTCCATGTGCATCCTTGTTTTGATGAAAAGGAAGACAATGCTCCCTTCCATCAAGGAACTGAAATGAATCAATACACTTTGACTAGTGGTGCAACGGCTCGAGGACAAACCTTAGGGATTAATGTTGAAAAATCGACTCTGATTGACAAAAATAGAAGTAATACAACAACTTCTAGTCGAAATAAGTCAGCAAAGACTAGTATCCCTGTGCCTCCTAATTTTTATCCAATGGAAGACGATGACACCCTCTTTCAAGAATCAAAAGTTACTCGAGATGCTCAAAGAAGTGATAATTTGAAAAAGAGTTAGTCCAATTAATATATTTGATCAAGAAATTTTGCTTAGCTTTCTTTACTTAATCTTTTTTGTATTCTTTTTGTTATTAATAATGGGCATGAACTTCTTATTTTGGTTGACTTTCATCAAAATTTGCAGGTGCATTTGAATTTGATAAGTCAAAAAAAGTAATTGGAGTGCCTCGATCTGCTAAAAAAAGTGATACTAGTATGTTATTTTATTTGTGAAACTTTTTTTTGTTAGTTGAATTGAATTGTTAGTTTTTATAACTTGCACTTAAATTTGCAGGTCCGTTTGAATCTAGAAAAGCAAAAAAAGTGTTTGAAGTGGCTCAAGGTGCTAAGGAAACTGAAACTAGTATGTATTTTCTTTTATGTAATATTTTCATGTTGTTACTTGTAAAGCAGTCAAAATATTATCTTGCCTTGCTTCCATCTGCAATAGATATGTTAGCATATGATAGTTCCATAAGCAGTGTTCCTGCAATAAACATATTGTAAGCTTAACTTTTTTACACATTGGATGAAATCTGAAGTTTGGTAAGCCCCTCATAATCTTCAAGACCGTAGTTAAAGACTCCATAACCAATATAAATAGCAGGGGAGACATGGGGTCCCCTTGTCGTATTCCTCGTTTTTCCTCGAATAACCATTTTCTACCCCATTCACCATAACAGAATACATGGGAGGTGTTACATATCACAATCAACTTCACAAAGCCATCTGGAAACCCATAACCAAGTAAAGCTTCCTCGAAAATTTCTAACTCAGCATGTCATATGCCTTTTGGAGATCAATCTTCATCAAACATCTGAGACTGGTTTTCCTATTGTAATGCCTTCATAAGTCATGATATATTAAGACATTGTGGACCATAGATCTCCCTTGAACAAAAGTTGATTGATTCTCTGCTACCAAGTAACTTACACATATTTTAGTTTTTAACAAATCAGTTTGACTTTATATATCACAATACAACACGAGATAGGTCTGCACTGACTAGCATTTTCAGGAACAAGGACATTCGAGATAAGGGCAATATTAATAACATTTATCCGTCTTAGTAACTGACCATTCCGGAAGAAATCCAACAGTTCTTTAGCAATATCTTTCCCATGATATCCCAAGCTTCTCTGTAGAAATCACTACCATAGTCATCAGGACTAGGACTGCTTTTCATATCAATACTACACACAACTTTCCTAACATCCTTTGCATTAAGAAGTTTCAATATTTCCAGTTGTTTTTCAATAGCTTGCTTCAATTGTCTCTATTTAATAACTGAGTAAAAATACCTTGTGTTTGCATCTCCAAGCCTGATCCAGTTTGCCTGACTTCTCTGTAGTAGGAACATCTCTGCTAAGTTAGAAGCTTGTTTCAATTATACCAGTTTTTTGTTGCGACTATTGTCAGCATTATTATCCTGAGTGTTATTCAATTTATTCTTCTTTTCATTGACTACTACTTCCTTGTGATTCTATGTTGTGCATTTTTCCTTTGAGATTATGTCACTATTGTTATGGGCTATTTCACCTACACCACTGCTTTTATTTGCTTTATTTAATTTCCTTTGTATCCTTCTTGTTAGTAATGGGAATGAACTTCTTATTTCAATTGACTTGCATCAAAATTTACAGGTCTGTTTGAATTTGACAAGGCTAAAAAAGTGACTGAAGTGTCTCGGCAAGATCAAAGAAGTGATACTACTATTTTATTTTATTTGTGTAACTTTTTTTAGTAAGTTGAATTGATTTCTTGGGCTTTTTGACTTACAGTTAGTTTTGCAGGTTTGTTTGAATCTAGAAAAGCAAAAAAAGTGGTTGAAGTGGTACAAGATGCTGAGGGAATTGAAACTAGTATGTATTGTCTTCTACGTATTTTCTAATAGTTTCTGCATTGTTACCTATAAAGCAGCTAAAACATTATCTTGCCTCGCTTCCATAGGCCCTGAGAATCTAAGAGTAACAAGACTTCACTGTGAAAAGACCAAATTGTTTCCCCTTCCATTTCAAGCTATCCTCACTGTTAATAAGATCTTTAAAAGAAGTTAGGAGACCAACAAATTCTATAGAACTCTCATTATCCCAGTCATTTAGATTCAAGTATGTTCCAGTTGTCTCATTCTTCACTTTGTGCTACACTGAGATTGAACTTCTTGTTTGGTTTTCCTTACTATAGATTTTGCAGGTCCATGTGAAACAGAAAGGGCAAAGAATGTGAGGGGAACAAATATTTGTAAGAATGTTTTGCGATTGAGACCTGGAGAAAAATTAAAAGTCACTTTCTATCAAAATCGAGTCGTCGGGCAAAATCACACCTCATTTACGAGACACTTGGGCTTGATAGTTCGTGATCGTAATATGTGTCCACTCCGGGTACACTCATGGATGGACATTGAAGAGCATAAGCTTGAGCACATGTGGGCAGCTGTTACTGTAAGGATTACAACACATCTATCTCTTCTTTTTACTGATAACTGTCAAGAATCCCTTTTCAAAAAGTATTGGATGTTTTAGTTTGAAACATGACTCTTGATTTCACATTCCTTCTCCTTTAATAACAAAGTATAGTTACTCAGTTTCAATGGATAGATAAAAATTCTCACATTTCGTCTTTTCTCGTTAGCCTATTTGATAGTTAAATCTCTTGCCACTACCTGCTAATAAGAGGCTTTTGAAAAGTTAACTTTATTCTTCCACTGTAATTCCTTTGGATGTTAATATTATTAGTTTAGTGTGGCTATAGTTAATATGATTCTGCAGTTGGTAAAAACTATCAATTATTGTTTTTCAATTTTATGTTATAATTTCAATGTGTAACCTTCATCTTAACAAAATTTGGACATTTCTCAGTCATAGCAGTGTATTGATATGTACTTCGTTAAATATTGAGCTGACACTAACTATTACTTGAGGACCTAAATGTTTGATGGAGGATACACCTATTCATCGAAAGCCTCTACTAAGTATATACATTTCTTGGCCTTCTTGGCGGTTTTCACTATTGATAATCTTTCTTTGGTAATAAATTGTATATGTTGTACTTCTGTCTTTAATGAATCTTTAATTTTTGTTATGTAATATGGAGTAAATCACAATTCCATAAGTGCCCTGCCACAATCTACCTCTTGATCTTGGTCCAGTGTCATTGGTTGATCCATTATAGACTTTCCTTGACTTTGCCTGAGCTACTAATACCCAGCCACCTGTAACTTTCCTCCACAACTCTTTTTTCCATTGACATGACATAAATAGATGAGTGGGGTCTTTTAAACAAGGTTGATCAACACAAGTCTTATTCTTTCTCACTGTATCTCCATAAATCTTTGTTTGCTAGTTGAATACACATTGGATATACACTTCTAGATCATATTATAGCATGAAGTAGGTCTATATTGACTAACATTGGCCAATGTTGAGACCTTAGGGGTAGTTAAAATTATGGTAGCATTTACTTATTTCAACAGCATCCCTATTCTGAAAATGTCATGTACAACATGAAAAGTATCTCCATCCACTACAATACATGAAGCATCTTAAAGAATAAACAACCAAAACCATCAGACTGTTGAGCCATTGTTAAAGGTTGTCACTTACAAAGTCCTCGGGTTTTTTCACTCTTTCACACATTAGCCACTTCCTTTTTAATTATGCTACTGTTGTGGCTTACTTTCTTTTCAAGAAGAAGAAATATTATGTTACTATTGAATCACATAACATAGATACTAGAGATAACTAACAAAAACTTCATCTATTATCTCTCCTGATCATGATGTATTTGTCCTTGCTCAACCTTGATTAATAAGCGTGTACAGTCATTACCTGGTCAAATCCATGTGGCTTTACTTCTCTATAATATAATTGAACTAGCTAAGCTTAGTGATCTCCTAAAATTTATGCTAAGTTCAATTTCTTCTCCAGCAAGATCGGATTGCTAGGATTCTATTATAGCAGTTTCTGTTCCTTCACGTCATGCTTCAGGCCACTCGCTTGTGTCGCTACTTTACTCTTAACGCTATTTCAAACACTATACAATAGTGATGTGAGTAAGCTATAGGTTTTAAACAGACAACTTGTGGTTGTTATTTATTTGAAATTTTGATTTCTGTTCCTGAAATTTCTAGGTTACTACCTATTAGGTGATCTATACTTTGATGCCTTGTTTTCCCTTATTCAAGAGATTTTGATGGTATTTTTTCTATTTTAGGAGAAGTTTGACAGTGATGACATGAATGATCAAAGAGATAATGTTTTGCAACATATGAGAAAGCTTTGGAATAACTGGAGAGGATCATTGCACAAGAATGTGAAATCTAAATCATTGCACGAGGTTCTTAAAGATGTGCCAATGGGAGTAGACAAGAGTGATTGGGAATGGTTGGTCAAGGAACATTTTTTATCTCAGAAATTTAAGGTAAGACTTCATATAGTTATTAACAAATATCATTTTATTTCTAGTCACATATGATTAGTTTTTTGGAATAATTTATACCATGTACAAATTGAGTCTTGATTTCGATAAAAAAATTTGATGTCTTCTATTCACAAGATCTACCAAAGAAAATTGCAATGGTGTTTTTTTGTGCTTCTGTTCTCTTTTACCCTCTTCCCACTGAGCTTAAAAGTATACATTAAATATAGAATCATTAAACAGGATTGTGATAATTTCAGTTGTTGTGTTGTTAATGCAGGACGCAAGTACAAGAAACTCAGTCAATAGGTCTAAGTTGCGTATGCCTCATCGTACGGGTAGCAGGCCTATTAGAGAGATTGTTTACGAAATGGTAAATAAATTGTGCAACCCTATAAAAAAACCTCTCCTATTTCTATAAAATATCTTATTTTTTAATCGTGAAGGGAGGCAAAGATGGTAATCCACCAAACATGGCAACTATTTTCTTTGAGACACGTAAGAAGGGAAATGAGCTTGTCGAACCTGAAACCGTTAAAAAATATGTATGTTTATAACAATTTTAATTTCATTTAACATCCTTACTCTTACTTAGTGCATTGCATTATTTTAAATATTCTTATGTTTTATAGGCTGAAATTCACGAGCTTGTACAATCTGAACCATCTCTTACTAATATTGAGGTAGTGGAAAGGTGCTTTGGACCTCAATGCAAAAGTCACGTAGTTGGATTTGGTGGTGGAATAACAACTAAGGAGTTAAAAGGCGGTACCACCTCAAAGGCTGCATTGTGGGAAGAGCTGAAAACAACTCGAAAAGAAAAGGAATCACTACAAAAACGCATGGATATTCTAGAGAGTAAATATGAACACCTTGAAAATATAGTGATCTGTCAGTCTTCATCAGTTCCATCAATTCCATCAGGTTAGTAAACATACTATTAGTTATTATTACATGATGTGTATTGTGTGTGAATGAAGTGATGTTGCTTCTCGTTGATAAGGGCTTTGTTATTGCAGTTGTGCTATGAGTTACCTGTTTTCCTTTAGTGCATTGCGTTATCTTGAATATTCTATATATTCTGGCATTCTCACTCTAGTATTTCTATATATAACTAAAATCAATATCACTTTAGTTATAATATCCACAAAGCTAAAAGATTGATTTTATGTTCATTTCTGTATATACCAATGAGATTGCTATAACATCTTCAAATGTAAAAGTAGCTATCAATATGGTTATTGTTCTGTATATGTTGTTGGTAGAAAATCAAGATCTCTCCTCTGATTAGGTCCTTGTATGACTTTGTCCTCTACAATATCATTGTCAATATAATTTGCCCTTTATTATTGTACTATTAGTAGTTAATCTCAAACATCACACACTTCTACATTACTCTTTCTCTGTTGCCCTGCAACTTTAAATATATTTGATCATGTTTGTGTCATTCTCCACTGTGGTAATTAGTTGTTTAAGTTTTTCTAACTTCCTGCTTGTCATCCAGCTGCAAGCTTGTTTCATTTGATCCACTTGCATTCTCCATTTCAACAATTTATCTATGTTTTCTTTCCTTCAACTTTCAATACTAGTTCTAGGACTAGGATTTCTGGTCTTCTTTATTTGATGTATATTTACATTCTCTTTGTTGAAGCACTTTAATATGTGTTGTGTTCATGTTTGTCCACTTTAATCTCTCTATCTCTTTCCTTCCATTAATCTAGAAAGAGGCCCAGGTTTTGTGAAAGAGGTGGGGTATGAGGAAGCATTCACTTGAATAAATATTTAAATGAGGAAGTACCAACCACCCTCTGTATGAGATGTTAATGTGAAAGTAATACAACTCTTGTTGGCTGCCAGTGGAGATCCTCAATATGTTTCTAGTTGTATACATCAGAAAATAGATCAGGAACTATTCAAGAGAATTAATCCTTAAGTTCAAACTTTTTTCCGTTGCTAATTAATATACTTCAAATTGTTGTTTTGACAGATGAAGATTTTGAAGATTAAAGAACAAGATCACGTGAAAGATAATGTGGAGCGTGCAGCAAAGAATATTATATTTTTATTGTTGGTGCAAAGACGTTTTCTGTAGTTATTCTTAATGTCATTTTCTTAATTTCTAGGATTTTATAGATGTCGAACACATGTTTTATTATGTTGAAAGTGTATGCTCTTTTTTTTTAGATATTGTGTTGAACATATAAGTTTTTAGTAATTAAATCAATGTGTTCTTTAATTTATTATTAACAATATAATTTTATATCAAATTTTCAATTGGATGTGAAAAGATTTATATGAACTGATCATATTAGTTCTTTTTAGAAATGATGGAAAAGATAACAACTACAAATTAAATGTAATAATTTAAATCGAAATTTGTGACAGGAAATTTGATTGTTAAAAAGTATTGTAATCAACGACAAGAATTCTGGCCGCTAAAATTAGTTATAACGCCCCTAATTTGTTGTTTTACTTGGAAGGTTCTAACGACTAAATGACCATCAATGAAGGGGAATTTGGTCGTTGTAAGCACATGTAACGACCAGATTAATTGGTGTCGTTAAATAATATTTAACGACCGGACATGCAATCCAGTCGTTAACCTTTAACGACGGAGCTTTTAACGACCGGTGACGACCAATTTTTGACCAGTCGTTATAGACCTTTAACAATCGGATTTGGACTTATAACGATGGTGTTTCCTTTCGCTAAAGGTCATTTTTCTTGTAGTGAAATAAATAAATATTTGTTTATCCATCAAATAATACCTCTACAAAATAATAATATTTCATGAATCCGACAATATCAATTTAGAGAGGTTTTACTATAGTTTGTGGTAAATAGTAGAAAAAGAATAGAATAAAGACGTAATATGTAATGTGCTCTTTAATTTGACCTTAACTGGCATCTATGCCTCCAACTTTGGGTGTATAAAAATAGGCACTTCAACTATCCAAAAGTTGAACAAGTGTATCAACCTGATTCTGTCGTTAGGGGAGAAACCAATGGGGAAAGAATTTGGGCCAGAAAACTTTTGGGTAGTAACTTGGAAATTCCTAGCCTAGTCCAGATTTGGATGTAATTTGAGTCAGGTAAGGTCTAGGGAAATCTGGTAATGAATGAGAGATCTAATTGTAATTTTGATGACATGAGTAAATTTCTAAGACGTTAAGGCATTCGTATGACTTTACAGAATTAATTTCGGGAGAGTATAACTCCCAAAATCAATCATAGCATGAATGGATATTTTCTGAATGTCATGGATTGAAGGTGTGTTGTGAAATGGGAGTTTGGAACTCAAATTCCCACTCTCTGTTTTCGTGCAAGCCACCAGGACGGGATTATTCCCGCCAGAGAGGGGCTGCTGTGGCAGGATGGGGTCCGCCGTAGCGGGCTAGTCGTGAATTAAGTCGGTATTAATACCCAAAAACGTCATTATTCTGCAAACTTTGTTCTTAAGAGTTATGAGACGACCCCAGGCGATTTCTTGACAGTTTTCTACGACTTTGATGGTAAAGGTAAGGATTTCACTCCCCGAATCTATTTTTCGATCCGTAGAACGTAAATTCATGGGTAATTATCGTTGGGGGAGGGTTTTGGCCTGAAGTTAATGGTGGAAAAATCCCTAGGTTGGGTATTGGGATCATGGGTTTGGCTTATGGTTGATAATGTTGATTAGATTCCAGGTAATTAGGACTTGTTTATTGATCCTTGTATTAATTTATTGTTTTTAGACCACGAACAAGCGGAAAGAATCTGGAAAGGGAAGATTCAAGTGCCTCAGGGGATTCAAGCTTGGTTTCGAGGTAGGTGATGGTTTGATTTCATGTTGGTGTGATGTATGCGAGTAATTGCTACATTGTAATGCATGTATGTATGCGAATGTTGCACTATAGATCAAACCTAATGTAAATGAGTATGAATGAATAACTATATGCCATGAATCACCACCTGATTGTATGATTATGAGAATGTACATTGTGATTGTGATTGTGGTATGTTGAATGGATCAGGTGTCACATTTCGACACACTAACTGAGATCGGATGTCACGTGCCGACATAAACATTGAATCGGGTGTCTCATTCCGACACACTAATTGGGATCGGGTGTTACGTTCCGGCACACTAAAAGTTTGGGTATGGGTTCATGAGAGGACCATTGAATTGGTATATTTACTTGTTAATAAGAATGTGGAATTGTAAGTTGTTCTTGATTGATAACTGATATATGTGTATATATTATATGCATGTCATGTTTACTATGTTGTGACTGCTTATGTATGTTTGCTTATTGGAATAGCCGTATGATCCTACCAGTACACTGTGGTTGTGTGTTGATATTGCACTTGCTCTTTCTTTGTCAAGTACATAGCATCTTTAGGCGGCTACTAACATACCTTGCTAAGAAGATCACTGATCGAGACCGAATTCAAGGATGAGCCAGTTCTTCCAGACTGCCATGAATTCTAATTTTGTTTAGTCTATTTATGTTCATACTTAGACTAGTACTTTAGATATTCGTTGTTAGTTTCGGGGTTGTACCCTTTGTTCTTAGACTTATCGTTAGTAGAGTTTTGGTACATTGACTTTAAGGTTTTAGGCTTTGTTTCCGCAATATTTCTATAATGGGTTTTGTAAAACTTTCGGAGTTTATGGGAACTCTATTTTATTTCTGCATTAAACCTGCTTCCGTAGCTTTAAATGTTTAGTCCTTGGTTAATGTGTTTAGATGGGCTGTAGTAATGGTTCTCCCACCGGAGGGTTAGTGTGGGTGCCACTCACGACGGTCTAGGTCATGATAACAAGTATACACACGTCCTATGTGTTGTCCTAAATGAAATTTTATGTGTATTATGCCACATAGGACGCATGTGTCTACTTATTCAATTTTATATAAATCTAAGTGTCTACTTGTACACACCCAAAGTTATAGGACATAAATGTGCATTTATGTATTATGCCTAACATAAATCATGTTCTTAAGAAAGAGAAGAGTCTTCCGAAAGTGGCGGTTAAAGGGGTTGGTGGGGTGGGGGGAAGCTGAGAAGTGCCTGTAAAGAAAAAGAAGTGAATGTGTGTAATGGTGGATTCAAAGAACAAGAGCGTAGCTTGGAGGGCTGAAGAAGAAGAAAGTTTTGGGCAGGCGGAGATGCATTTGAAGAAGAAAATACGTTTTATTTAAATAAAAAAAACATATTTTCCCTTTTTAACTTACTAGTTCTGGACACGTGCTTCGCACGTGAGTTCTGCGAAATATTATATAAGGTATGAGTTATATCAAATCACATTGTAATGAGTATCACAAACTTTTTAACAAAAAATATATATAATTTGAAATATATGAATAGTCAATCTATTTAAATAACTTTTTTATCGTATGTAAAATGATTAGACATTCCATGAAATTGTAAAATTTGGACAACAAAACTTGGTTTGGTAATTAAAGTAATAATTAAATTTTATGTTATTAGGTCCAAAAATATGATATATAGTATGTAACCGTACTAAAACGAGTATACAAAGATGATTAAATGGCTCCGATTTGATCGCAAAAGAAAATCTCTACATAATTCAATGACCGTTGAGAATTAGGCACATTCTTAATGTTCATTTATATAAGAATTAGCTTAAATCCATCATTAATACTAATTGTTAACCGAAGGAAATTAAAAAACTTGACAATTAATAGGATTTGATTAAATCATACATATCCTCTATTAAATATTAATGTTTACGTTATCTATCATTTGGCAAGTCACCACCAGAGGAATTAGGATTCTTTTTAAGATGATGAATGTATGTTATGTGAAGCTTTTTATCATTAAATATATATATATATATATATATATATATATAATAAGTACTCTTTAATATAATATTATTAGATAAGACATCCTCTTTTTAATATCATTTTTATTTATACTAATATAGCCTAGTTCTAATATTTGTAAAGCTTATTTAAAAATAAAATAAAATAAATAATATTTATATATAAACTTAAAGAAAAGAACCTATAACACATAAGCACA